TCCAAAATCAGCTGGAATTACAGGCAGAGAACGTGTAAGCAGCTGGAGACTGGGGAGAGGCGGCTTGAGGAAATTGGGGCTGGAATGGGGAGATGGGGAGGATGAGTGGGCAGTGGTGGGACCAGGAGAATTGGCAGTAGGGGAGGGGGATGAGGGGGAAACAGGAGAGAGGGATATGGGCCTGGAGGAAAAGGCACAAGGAAGGAGGGATTGAGAGAAATTAAGGTAGAGGAGCTCAGTCAGTTTCTTTCAACATCTGGAGGGCGAATGGTGGTAGATGGTAGAGCCCCTGCGATGGGGAAGCACGCCATCCGGCCCATCCAGTCCCCACCGAGCTTCTGAACAGCATCTCACCCAGACCCCACCCCATATTTCCCATGGCTAACCCACCTAACCTGCACATTGGGTCAATTTCCCATGGCCACTCCACCTGCACATCTTTGGACTGTGGGAGGAAACTGGAGCACCCGGAGGAAACCCACACAGACACGGGGAGAACGTGTAAACTCCACACAGACAGTCACCCAAGGGTGGAATCGAACCCAGGTCCCTAGCGCTGTGAGGCAGCAGTGCTAAGGACTGAGCCACCGTGCTGCCCAAAACTCAAACAAATCAACTGATGCGCAGTTACATGAGCTCGAGGTAGTAAAAATGAGTCAGTGAGATTAGGGGTGGAAGAAAGAGTTGAGAAAATAGCTTTGCACTTGCAGGGAACATCCAGAACCTCTCCGCTGTTCCAAGAATCCTCCCCAAGTGACTCCTTCCCAAACAGTGACCTCCTCCCTTCAGTACTCCCTATCACCCTTTCTCTCCCTTGTTGTCGTTCTGCTCATAAAATGCAGCTCACTCCAGACCAGGTTACTCTTGACCCACACTCTGCCAGGGACGACTTCCATTAGCTTCCTAGTTAGCCACCATGCTTTGCTTCAAGATCCTCACCCATGTTCACAAGAGGATCTCGGAGACATACACACACCCTAACCTTCACAATGGCCCTGCCCCATCAGTTATTGTACTTCCAGGAAGCATGCTATGAGTTCACAAACCTCCTTTCTTATCTTTCATCATCTAATTGACTAACTCTGTTGTCCCTACCACTCCCAGTGCCTGGAGATACACTGCATGTGAAGCAGTGTATCCTGCACTGGGTTCTTTCTTCATTTGTGAGTAATTACTGAGCTACATTGTTGGGAGGGGTTTCTGAAGCTTCTCTATCGTCCTGTTCCTGCTGCTTTAAACTCCATTACATCTCACACCGTTCTCTGACAGAAAAGACCGATGAAGGCGAGTTTAAGAGTGCTCACCACAGTCTCGGGGAGAATGCTCCCTACCCAATGCACAAAGTAAGGCAAATAAACAAAGGGTTACATTTCAACAATGTCATTCACAACTTTCAGGCATCTCAAAGTGGAGTCAACGTTGTAAATCTGTGGTGCACAGCAAGATCCCAAAAGGTCCAATGGGGCTCCCGAAGAAGAGTCATACTGGACTTGAAACATTAACTCTGCTTTCTCTCTCCATGGGCGCTGCCTGATCTGCTGAGTTTCTCCAGTGTTTTCTGTTTTTTATTAGTTTCCCAGCATCTGCAGTATTTTGCTTTCATAAGATCCCACAACTTGGTGAGAAGCAGATTTCGCTTTCTCGGCAAAGTCGGTTGAGGAATGATGTTTGGCCAAAATATCAGCAAGAACTCTCCCGCTTTTCTTCACACACACCACTGATCTGGTCAGGCAGTGGCAAGTCCGGCAGGGACTGGGTTCAAAGTCTCATCAGAACTACAACTGCAACTCATTTGGCCCCACATTCACCTCTAAATCTCAAGCTTCTAGATTGAATTTCTATTCCAGGGCTTGAATGCAGAACTCTGAGTTGATGCTTCAGTGCAGTGCTGAGGAGTGCTGCGCTATTGGAGGAACTGCGTTTTGAGTGCAGTATCAATGCAAGACTCCATGTGCCTGATCAGGGATCAAAATCCCATGGCACTATCTTGAACAAGTTTTCATAGAATCCCTACAGTGTGGAAACAGGCCCTTCGGCCCAACACATCCATGCCGACCCTCGGAGCATCCAACCCAGAACCATCACCCTATGACCCACCCAATCTACACATCCCTGAACACTACGGGCAATTTCCCATGGCCAATCCACCTAACCTGCACACCTTTAGACTGTGGGAGGAAGCTGGAGCACCCGGAGGAAACCCACGCAGACACAGGGGGAACGTGCAAACTCCACACAGACAGTCACCTGAGGGTGAAATCGAACTCCGTGCTAACCACTGAGCCACCATACCACCCTGGTGTCTTGGTCAAAATATCCCTCAGTCAACATCACCAAGAAAAAGGTTATCTGTTCATGATTATATTGCTGCTTTTTGATGTTTATCCTTTTCATGAGATGGTGGTGTTGCAAGGCCAGCATTTTTTATCCATTGCCTTTGAATGGTTTACTAGACCGTTTGGGAGGGCAGTTAAGAGTCAGCTATATTGCTGTGGGGTCTGGAGTCACGTATAGGCCAAACTGGGTAGGGATGGCAGAGTTCCTTCCCTAAAGGGCAATATGATGGTGTTTTAAGCAACAATTGATGATAGCTTCCATAGCGACGCCAGACTTCAATTCTCCATTGACTTCAAATTCCATCGGTTGCCCTGAGAGTGATGGACTCAGCCTCTGGATTACTGATCTAGTGACATTACCCCAATGCCACCACCTGTACAGACTGTTACTACATTTTCTACATTACAACAGTGATTACACTTTAAAATAATTTATTTGCTGTAAAGCACTTTGAGACGTCATGAGGTTATCATGGAAAGCGCTTTATAAACGCAGGTCTTTCTTTTGCACAGCCCAGAGTTCTGTCAGAGCTGTACTGGGAGTGTCAGCCTTAATTTTTGTGCCTGAGTCTTCAGAGTAGGAATTAAACCCATTATCCTCAGACTCAACAGTATGAACATTTCCCGCTGAGCCACGATGTAGGGACTGCAAGGTGAGCTTAGGTTCTGTGGGCGGGCTAGAGGTGGAGGAATTGTTATCTTTCAAATAGCTTTATTCTCCTTTCCACCCTGCAAGTAATTAAAATGCTGCCTTCATCATGACCCTTCCCCAGTCCTCAAAGCCATGATTTGGTTGGGATTGGAATCAACTCTCTACCCCGTGTGTCCTGTCTTTTGTAATACTGTGTAGTTGCATGTCATCTGAATGTATCTGCACGCTCATAGTTGTGCCACTTTTTTAAGTGTACTAAAACATGATCTTGAAATGTTTTAAAAGGCCATATTGTGTTTTAAAAGCACCAGCTTAGCTTTGTTCACAACAAAGAGATAGTTGTCAGAGGCAGGGATCTTGGATGAATCAGATGCGCTCCCTAGCCTGGGGATAATGAAGTTAAATGGCGCTCCATGACGTTACCCTGGCAGAGATAATCCAGCTCAGCACTAAGTAAGGAGTGAAACAAAGACCTTTCCAGGTCTATGTAAGTAGCACAGTTGAACCACTAGGGGGGGACCTTTGTGAAATCAGGAGAGGTGCCTCCTGCTTTGATGGAAATTCCAGTTGTATGTTTTGTTGAGGAGACGTGTTCAAGCAGCCAGCTTGAGTGGCACCACGATCACCTTCTTTATCGGTGAAGCACAGTAGCACCAGGGCGCTCTGTCAATGATATGCACTACAGAATTTCACCCAGGCACCTTAGGTAGCACCTTCCGAACCCACTTCCATCTAGAAGGAGAAGGGCAGCAGATATAAGGGAACACCACCCCCTCCAAGTTCCCCTCTGAGCCACTCACCATCCTGACTTGGAAATATATCGCCGTTCCTTCAGTGCCGCCAGGTCAAAAATCCTGGAGCTCCCTCCCTGACGACATTGTGGGTCTGACTGCAGCGGTTCAAGAAAGCAGCTCACCACCACCTTCTCAAGGGGCAGCTAGGGACAGGCAAAAAAATGCTAATCCCTGCCAGCGACATAAGTGAGTGAATAACAGAAACAGCCCACATCAAACCAATTGTCTGTACTGCAGTGATGTTGGTGCTTTGTAACATTGCCGCGTGAGACCAGGATGAGAACAGTGCCCTTTCCTTTCCTTTCATTTCCTTCTTTCATGGGATGTGGGTTTTGCTGGCCATTTGTTTCCCATGCTCAATGACCCATGAATGGAGTGGCTAGGATGGCCATTTCAGGGGGTAGTTAAGATTTAACCACATTGCTGTGGATCTAGTCACATGTAGGCCAGACCAAATAAAGATAGTAGATTTCCTACCCTAAAGAGCATCATGGATTTTTACAACAATCAATGATTGTTTCATGCTCATCATTATTAAGACTAACTTTACATTTCAGATTTATTGATCGAATTCAAATTCCACCAGTTGCCATAGTGGGATTTGAAACCATGTTCTCAGACCATTAGCCTGGGCCTGTAGATTTCTAATCCAGTAAGATTGCCATTACACCAATATCTTCCCTTTGACCTATCACCCTGGAGGGACCTGGGCTGCTAGTGATGTAATAAAACAATCTGCTCAAATGATATTGAGGACTAAATGCAGGAGGACTATCATTAAATGCTAATGACAAAAATAAAATATTGCAGATTCTGAAAATCAGAAATAATGAAACTAAATACTGGATATACTCAGCAGGTCTGGCAACATCTGTGGAGAGGAACGTTTTGGGTCACCAAGCCCTTTGTGAGATGTTCACTGTTGATTTTCTGAGACATACATGAGCATTTTCCCTGAATGGAGAGCCAAGGAGAAGCAGTTGGGGTTAAAGGGACATCTTTTCATGTCTGAGTCAAGAAGAAATTTCTTCCCTTGAGGTTGTGACTCTGAGGAATTTTCAATCCTACAGGGCTGTGGATGCTCAGTCATTGAGAGTTGTCAAGATTGAAATCAATAAGTTTGTCCAATAAGAGAATCATCTGGGGATTGGTGGGAAATGGGATTCAAGCAGCTGATCAGCCATGATTGTGTGGAATGTTGGAAGAGGCTTGAGGGACCAACCCATTCCTATTTCTTACATTCTGACAATAAACCCAATTCACTGAGGGCATGTGTAAACCGAGTTGCATGTTTCCTGTGCTCAGTATAATCAGGTAAGCGATTTTATTCAATGTGGGGACTTGGTCTTGATTTGGAGCTGTTGAGCATGGAGCTCTGGTGCAAAGTATGGATCAGTAGATGCTGATAGTGAACAGTATCTTGAATTGTAGAGTCAGCTAAGTGTTTGATATATGTTGAGTTTAGCTTCAGATGTGTGAACTGCTTACCACTCTTTTCTACCAAAGAATATTTGAATATCTCACTCTATCTCTGTGCCTGTAGTCACCACTCCCACTTCCAAAAGGCTTTTAGTTCATTTCTTTGTTTTTCTTTTCAAAAGACAGCCGCACCTTTGCAGGAACTTTTCAGTGGGCTTTTTGAATGCATCAGCTGATAGTTCCAAAGATCCTAATATATATCAATTGCCGCACTAAAACTACAGCCAGTAAAACCAAACGGAGCAATGGAACATTGACATATTGTGTGAAAAGTATTGTCATTACCAACGCAACATGTCATAGCTGATAGCTCCAGTGTTCCCTCTTTAACCCTCGTCTTACATCAACGTCATTGAGTAAGCTTTGGGTCATCCTGGTATCACCTTAAAGTGGCTCAGTGTCAAATTTTATGACTTGTTCCTCGGGCTATTTTACTATGTCAAAGGAAGCTATATAAATGAAAGTTGTCCCTAAAATATCACTCCAAAGAGGACTTGTTACATGAAAGTTTCTCTTCCAACCTCTGTCCCATGATAAAGTTCTTAAATCAGGAAGGCCAGTTGTTGGTATTAGCTAGAGTTAAACTCTGGCCGATTCTAAACTTTGTGGTAGCTATCTGTTCACTTGATGATGAAAAATAGTTGGTGCAATTGAAGGGCTGAATCGATTCAACATCATGAGTTAAAGGAAAAAGGCTCCCATTTACAAGCAGCTTTTTCAGATCACCAGACATCTCAGTATGCTTTACTGCCACTGAAGTACTTTTATGGACAGTGCTGTAAAGTAGGAAACACTAGTTTATGGTAGAACAAGTTCCCATGAAATGTAATAACAAGCAGGGAGCCTGGTTTTTGTGATGTTGGTTAATGGATCAATATCAGTCAAACATCAGTAACAAGTGCCGCACTCCTGTTCAGAATAACACCGTGGGATCTTTCGCTTCCACCTGAGAAAGCAGACGGGGCCTCGGTTTATCTGGAAGGTAGCACAGTTCACAGTGCGGCACTCCCACAGTATAGCACTGTTGTGTCAGCCTAGATTTTGTTTCATTAAATCCCTGAGTGGGACTTGAACTCAGCAACATCTGACTAGGATGAAAGTATGCCATTGAGTCAGTTGCCTCAGGTGTGCTTGCTGCTGACTCGGAGCCAATGACTCCATTCTCCAATTTGAATGCAACTTTTGACTAGCAGCATTATTTAAAAACTATTTGACTGTTGTTATCAAATGCAATGGAGATGATTAATCTCTTAGTGCCTGGGTAATGAGACTTGCTCAGTGACAGCACTTTTGAGCGAACATCAAAGTGGTACGTACACCTCAGAATAAGTGCTTCCATTAGCTGGAAGGTGTTTCTGGGAATCCTATATTCAAGGTTCCATAGAAATACAAATACAATTTGTTACAAATGCAAGTAGCTGCTTGATGATACCAAACTTGTGTATTGCTATAACGAAATAGTGTGAAGATTCGGGGTAGATCATTTAGGTCAGAGATGAGGAGACATTTCTTCACCCAAAGAGTGGTGAGCCTGTGGAATTCATTACCACAGGAAATAGTTGATGCCAAAATATTGAATGTATTCAAGAGGCAGCTAGATATAGCACTTCAGGCAAATGGGATCAAAGGTTATGGGGAGAAAACAGGATTAGACTATTGAGTTGGACAATCAACCATGATTGTGATGAATGGCAGACAGGATCGAATGGCCTCCTCCTGGTCCTATCTTCTATGTTTCTATGAAACATGCTGTTGAAGCTTTGCATCTTGCACGCCATCAGGACAGATTCGCAAGAATATCAGACCTCAAAAGGAGCAATCATTTATACTTCATGATCCTGTTTGCAAATGACAGGGCCCTGTGTATGTTTCCAGCACACACAACTGAGCAATACCTTGAGCCCAACTGATAATCTTAAATTGGTTGTTAGTGTGATTCTGAGCACAGTCTAAATTAGTTAGCAAGTGTTATCCAATCACAACACTATCGGACGCTAGGTTCTGAGCGATGAAGCATGGACTGAGTTTAGTTAGTACTGCATCTGTCATGAATAACCAGAGAGAAATGATTGATCTGTCAGTGGGATGTACAGTCAAGTATCTGTCATCATCCTGGCACTGAAATTCATATATCACATGACTCATTTGTGTGATAGGTAAATCTTTATTTTGGGTGCCAAAAGTTGGCACAGTTGTAAATGCCCCATTGTCCATTATGTAGAGTCTTGTTATATTTCCTTTCAAAATCATAAGGTTTTAGTGGTCTTGGATGCAGTGATATCATGCTGTTCTATTACTGTTCCCAGAGTGTTGCTAAGTATCTGTTTAATAGAGTTCTGGACAACAACTGATTCAATTTCAGAAGGTTAATTTGTTGAGAAGAATGAATTGGGGCAGTGTCTTTGTACGTGGGACATGTGTTTTTCACACACAGCTCCTCTAAGTATTGCTACAACAGAGCAGGTGAGTTGGAGGTTGGGTCCCTGCTAATTGGGATCTTTAAAAGATTTGGACAGTAAACTTCTGTGTTTGACTTGGATTCCATTTAAAAATATGCAGCCTCAGAACCAACGTAGATACGTGTGAGAAGCTGCCTAGAGCAATATCTGTGTCCCTATCCTTCCCCAGAAGGATCCAACTCTGGTCAGATTATATTCCGAGAAGTTTTATCAATGAACCTACAACTGTGCTGCCCAGTCAAACAACCTTGTTTACTGTCATAGGAAGTAGGAGCAGGCATAGGCTATTCAGTCCATCAGCCATGGCTCAGGGGCTAGCACTGCTGTCTCACTGAGCCAGGGACCTGCGTTCAATTCCACCCTTGGGTGACTGTCTGTGTGGAGTTTGCACATTCTCCCCGTGTCTGCGTGGATTTCCTCCGGGTGCTCCGGTTTCCTCCCACAGTCCAAAGATGTGCAGGTTAGGTCAGGCCATGGGATATTGCCCCATAGTGTCCAGGGATGTGTAGGCTAGGTGGGTTAGACATGGGAAATGCAGGTTTGTAGGGTAGGGGTTGTGGGATGCTCTTCAGAGGATTGGTTGTAGCCCATCATTCTGGTGCTGGCTATCTGAAAGAATTAGTTCCTGCATTTTTTGCCATTTCTTTGAAAGCTGCCCGTCCCACGGCACAACAATTTAATTCTTGAATACACCAAACGTTTTGGCCCCTTTTGCCCGTCCTGTATCAGCAACTAATTTTGAAGATATCCCCTTTCCACTGACCCCAGCACAGATTTCAATAGACAATTCCAAACATCATTGAATCCTTACAGTGTGGAAGCAGGCCAGGCAGCCCATTGAGTCCACTCTGACCCTCTGAATATCATCCCACCCAGACCTACCCCCCAACCTGTTCTGTAATCCTGCGTTTCCCATGGCTAACCCACCTAACTTGCACATCCCTGGACGCTATATGGCAATTTAGCATGGTCAATCCACCCTAACCTGCACATCTTTGGACTGTGGGAGGAAACCGGGCCACCCGGAGGAAACCCAGGCAGACACGGGGAGAATGTGCAAACTCCACACAGACAGTCGCCAAAGGGTGGGATTGAACTTGGGTCCCTGGTGCTGTGAGGTAGCAATGCTAACCACTGAGCCAGTGTGCTGCCCAAACAAATGAATTAGGAGTAGGGATAGACCATTCTGCCCTCCGGAACTGCTTTGCTGTTCAATTTGACCACTAAGACCTTAAAAATATGACCACTGCTGATCTGTTTGTGGCCTTCTCTCCAATTTCCCACCTCCCTCTGATAACCTTTGACCCTATCTCTTATTAAGTATTCATAAACGTGCCGTAAAAGTATTCATTGAACCTGTCTCTGGGGCGGAAAGTTCCACAGACTTGGCCCTATTGAAAAAGAAAACAAAAATCACCTCATCTCCGTCTACAATGAGAGACCCTCTACAAGCTGCCTTGAGAGACTTCCAATTGGATCATGCCTCCTTTTTTAAATACTCCTAGCCATGCTGCTGTTTAGGGGCTGCTGTTTTAAATGCCCACACTCCGAGCTGTTGCTGAGCCACGATAGATGGATGCTGGAATTTTCTGTAAGTGAGTGTTTTTAAGATCATTAGAATTGATCAACAGTACCAAGCAACTGCTGATAAAATACTGGCCAGTGATTCCGCCTTTGCTAGCTCAGTATGTGAGTGTATGACAGACTTCATTAACTCATGGTTTAGTTCCTTCCCGTGTCAGTATTTCTTTTTGCTGTTTATATAAGGAGCTAGGCTGCTGTGCCACACCCAGCCCTGCAGAGAAAATGTGTTCATGCATTGGCGCACTTGACAATTTGGCCTGGAGTCCCTCCGCATTGTTCCGTGGGAGTGCACTGGCCTAGTGGTATTATTGCTAGAGTATTAATCCAGAGATTCAGGTAACGTTCTGGGGACCTGGTTTAAATCCCACTATGGCAGGTAGTGAACTTTGTATCCAATAAAAATCTGGAATTAAGAGTCTAATGATGACCATGAAACCATGGTGGCTTGGTGTTTAGCACTGTGGCCTCTCAGTGCCAGGGACCCAGGTTCAATCCCACCCTTGGGCGACTGTCTGTCTGAGTGGAGTTTGCACATTCTCCCTGTGTCTGTGTGGATTAGGCAGGGTCAGTACGGGGATGGGAGGGGTAGGGGGTTGTGGATCTGGTTGGGATACACTTTGGAGGGTCAGTGGGGACTTGATGGCCGAATGGCCTCTGTTTGCGCTGCAGGGATTCTATGATTTCATGGAACAGGCAAGTCAATACTGTTTCAAAATCAAGTAACAAGAAAGAGAGTAAAGAAACAGCCTAGGATCTGACTTCAGGTACAGCAGGGAATGGCAAAACTATCAG